ATGTAATATGTGGTGATGCTGTGTAGTGTGTGGTGATGTTGTGTAACATGTGGTGATGTTGTGTATTGTGTGGTTATGTGTACCATGTGGTGATGTTGTATAGTGTGTTGTTATGTTTTGAAACATGTGGTGATGTTGTATAGTGTGTGGTGATGTTGTGTAACATGTGGTGATGTTGTATAGTGTGTGGTGATAAGTTGTGGCAAATGTGGTGATATACTTGCGAATATGTCAAGTTATGATAATAATTGAAAACAATTGGTACATTGGCATAGAAAGCAACACCACCTTATCTGCTTATTATACACACATGATGAATAACAACACACTTTTCAGAAACCTTCTATATTTCTAGTTATACTAAATATTTGTTATCACTGAAAGAAAGAGTTGATTTAGTACTGATAGCATGATTAGTATGCTCATTAGAGTAAAATGACATTTAATGTGAGGGGGTTAGTGAGATCTAAGAATTGTGACAGCTAGCGCAAACCAATGTATTTTCTTGTGTTCTGAGAGGAGAATTTGAAAGCTGATCGGAAAGAGTTACTTCAAATGATCAACTTCAGTTGAATCAAGCCATCTCCAGTGAAGTCCAACATTTAAATATTGATGTGTAATGTGTATGTACACATACCATAGCAAATGTCGCACTGAATGCAGAAACATTATCACAGTATTTTTTCTAACTTTAAAAAGTGTTGTTTTTTTGTTTGTTTTTTATTTCACATAGTGAAAATTGTGAAATTTTGAAGATTTCAGTGGGGTTGAAAAAAAAATGAACTTTATACAATTTTGTCATCACAAATCTTATTAAAACTTGTGACAGTAACTTGAATTTGTTTTAATTTTTGATATCAACTGCACAACGATTGTCTCAAAATGTGATGTTTAATACACAGCTGTTTGCCATAGAGGGCACACTATTATTTAAACTGTTAATATCACTTTTGTTTGCGGAGACAAAATACTGTTACAAAGTTAAATGATTCAGTTTGATTTACAACAACCAAATAACAATTTTTTTTGACTGATTAATAAAAAGTGGCCTGTTGGTAGATGGTCTTCATAGTAGCCCTATCCATAATCTACTTTCAAAATTGGATTCTCAGAATTACACAATTAATGGTTAGTGATTTTGAAGATAGAATGATGAGAGGTAGAATTGAGGGTGGTCGGCAACAAACCTCGGGGGTACTTAGGGCTGATATGGAGGTACTATCAGTAGCATTGTTGTTCAACTTCTGTAAATGAGCATTTCGTGCACGAATCTAGGAGTAAAATCAACATTACAAAAAACATTGACACAAGGGAAACTCAAAGTGAACATATAACTGATACCAATGAGGAAAACAACATATACATGTATAGTACTATTCACATAAGTCTCTTCTGAGATTGGTTGTGCAAACATGCATATTCATGATATGCCATATATAGTAGTATGCAAATTATAACAAGTCCCATGAATCATGAATATTCATGAGATATGCCATACTCAGACTAGAATTTACCATATATGGCACTAAGCAATTAAATATTAATACATTTTTGTAAGGATATATAACTCAAGTATGACATGGTCAACATGCAACAGAACAATGCCGATTTACAGGATAAACAATATTTTTATTAATACATTATTAAACTATTAAAATGAAACATGATTGCAAGTTTTAGTAGCAGCACAAATCAAGTCAATTATTAGGATATTATGAGTACTCCTGGAATACCTAACCACTGCATAAGTAGAAATCCACAAACCATTCTTTTAGCTCACACGTTTTACATTACAAAACCTTCTAAAACTCTTGTTAAAACAACATACATGGCCAAACATACCTTTTCCTAAATTTACTCTAACCTGGTAGTTAATGTAGAAATAAAAACAAAGGATTTTAAAAATATGATCATAGAGGGCAGTATCACTTACCAAGACAGCAGGACAGATGGCAGTTGGAGGTAATAAATGGTCTCTCAAAGCTCCAAGATTACATTCAGGTTTCAGATGAGATGCACATTTATTATGAAGCTGAAATATGAACAAATATGAAAAATAATTAGATAGTACTAACTGCTTATTAGAATAATACAAACAATGCCAGTTTTCGGTTTTACATGTTCATTCAAACAACGTGTCTGGGCAATGAATAGGGTGTGAAATGTTATTCAGCAAATTGGATGATCGTGATATCAAGGTTTAAATCTTTAATTTTGTGTATCTAAAATGGCATAATGTTGGTTCAAGGGTGTATTCTCATTTTACTATAGATGTCTTCATTGTAGTTTGATTTTGTTTCCAAGTTTTTCATAATTTGTTATCCCTGATAGCAGAATATAGGGCACAAAAGAGGAAATGATGCAAAGGAAATTCTATTTGGAAATAATTCCATCTGGGACTAAAATAGTGTTCTCATAATAAAACCAATGAAGTACAAGTGTTATAAAGATATACATACGTTAACTTGACACCATCTGCAGTGTAGGCCTGTAACACCATTATAACTTTTAATGGACTTCCTACAACGATCACATTTCCCGTTACAATTACCCTCAATCCAATGGTGATGTAATACCTATAATAAACAATTATAGTTTTAGTGTTTATAGAAATAACATCATTTATCTCTGATGAGTTCAGATACCTTGCCATGTGAGCTGTATAAATGGAAAAGACTGAAAAAAGTTTAAACTAGATACATTCTGAAGGCTAAAAAAATGATTTGTTTCAAACAGGGTTGCTCTTGACTTAATTTTCTATTCTTCTGTCAAAATATATAAAAAATGCATTGCATCAGTTCTAAGTATGTTTGTCTTCAGGTAAAAATAATTGTGTAAACATTAACCCTTTGAAGGCTAATTTTTGTCACATTTTTTCAAAAATCGTGAACAAGAATTGTAGGTAATGAAAAATTATTTCAATTTTCATTCAAATGAATTTATTAATTGATAAAAAATAGATAAAGGCATGCAAAGTGTTGCCCACAATTTTGGTTGGGAGGGGGAATAATGGGTTGAGAAGAGTTTTTCTTTCCTGCTAACCATAACTTTAATGTGCCTTTCTAAAATTTAATGAAAACACACACAATACCAAAAACAAGTTACATTATGGTTCCCATTATTTTGGATTGTAACAATACTTTTACCATATTTGCTCACACAAACCAAAATGTCATTTATTGCATGTATGTAAAATATGACTTATATTGAAAAATTAACTGATTGAGGCAAACAATAAACAAAAAATTCTAGATAAAATGTTGTTGTCAAAAGAAAGCTTTGATGTTTGATGCTCAGTAGTGGTCAACAATTTG